TATATATATATATATATATATAGATATTGAAAATTCCCCCATAGGTGAAAATTCCCCAACGGGATGATAAGCGTGCGCTTAGTCAAAGTTATCGATCCCAGCATCAGGCCTCCCTGGGAGGTCACCACTTTCCCTGATTCACATAGAACTCTGAACCTATCTCTCCCTCTCCCTCCAGTCCTCCAGCTGTTTCCCTGAATCCTATTATCCCCTGGGCATACTGGAGCATGTTGCTGGCTCCACATGCCTTATTGTTTGACAGAGCCCGCTGATTGGTTTAGACTGTGGGAAACCTGAATCAGAGTAAGACTCACACATTCATATGGAGATGCTGTAGTATAAATAGGAGGGATGAAGCCAGCAGAGATCGGTGCTATCTACAGAGACTTCTAGAGCACAGAAATCCAAGCATGGCACCTAAAGTCACTGCAGCAATGACCAGTACCCCAGAGCATCTGACAATGACTCACAAGGTAAGTGGAACATAGAATTTACATAATATTCACAGCATGCCAGTAATCATGAAAGCTTGTGTTCTGTTAAGGCTAACTTCATCCTCCCAAATGATGCTATTAATGACTTTGTTCTTTTTTCTGCAGCTCAGAAAGCCTCTGGTGGAGAAGTTACGCAGAGAGCGAATCAACACCTGCATTGAGCAGCTCAAGTCTCTCCTGGGTCCAGAGTTCCTCAAACAGCAGCCAGACTCCAACCTGGAGAAGGCAGACATCCTGGAGATGACCGTTTGCTTCCTGACACAGCTACAGCTGCAGAACCAGCAGCAGAGAAACCTGCTGAACAGCTTCAGCAAGCTGCAGACAGCTTCTGATGAAAATCTGAGAGAGGATGACCTCTTTCCTCTGAGTTCCACAGTCCAGACAAGCACCACGAAAGACAACAGCGCCCTGTGGAGGCCGTGGTAGAGACTCACATAAAGTAGTCCCTAATACAATGGTTTAAAAGACCATATTGGTCAAAGATTACTGGACTGAATTCCTTGAAATTCTTTGAACTTTTTCTTCTGTAGTTACAGAAGTCTTTACTTTGTGTGCTTAATGTGTAATTTCCTGGTAAATGACACCAGTACTGTTTTTCATGTTAAGAAAGAAAACATCTTGCCATGTATGTTGCATGAATCAAATTGATTGCATCAGCAATGATTATTATTTCTTTATTATTATTATTATTTACATTTTTATGTAGATGTTATTATTACATTGTGATTAGAACCTTTGATCTGTTTTAAGGTCACTTTTTATTTTGTTTAGTAATTTGGCGTTTTGTCTTTCATAAAGACAGCTGTTCCTTTACTCGCTTTGAGTACAGTGTTTCTTGTAGTCATTTACAAGTTATTGCTGTGATGTATCATCACCTGCTGTTTGAAGATTTATACTTTATGCGCCTCACTTTGTCTCATTGAATAAACAAACACTGCCAGATGGAAACGATGTCTCCTGATATCTTTGGGTATTTTTTAAGGGCATTTGATCATTTTTGAGTAGAAGCTGAAGTTTCACTCTGCACGTTTAATCTAACTCTCTGCTTTCAAGACGCTTTATGGTCAACCTTTCAAAGAGAAGAAGCAGTGTCTGATAGGTTACAGCTTTTGGAACTTTTGAATTCATTTTCAGATCTCTTTTACTTATTTGTAGTTTATATTTTTTATTTAAACGAGATACAGTTAACATGACAATTCAAAAGTCTACATCAAGAAACACCATCATTCCTATGGAGTATTATCTATGCAAGGTTTTATGCTTGTACCAAAGAAAAGTTAAGATAAAAAGCTGGTTTACAGTGTTTTGTTTTTTCAAAAAAGCTAAACTTTTGTTGTCCATGTGAACTGTAGACTCAGGGTCTTGGTCTTAACTGAGAGGTGGGGCCCTCAGTCCGACAGGTGTGGTCTTCTGCTGCTGTAGCTCTTTTTTTTTTTCAAGGTTTAACAAAGATGCTCTTCTGCATAACTTGGTAGTTATAATAATTGGTTTCCCCTCCTCTCAGCTCCTCTGAGGAACACAGATTAACACACAAGGGATCTGAGAGGTGCACAGAAGTGAGCTACACAATTTGCAGAAGGGGCAATTTGAGATAGGAGACTTAAAGGTACAGTAGTGGCAGAGGAGAATGTAGCATCTGATGGTATCCTGTAGGATGGCTTTGGAAGTGATGCTACATAAAACAGCGCTCACTTCAAGAAAAATAAGTGATGATAGAGGCAAAAATTAAACAGTGTAAGTTGAAGAACATTGTCCATAGTTTTTGTGGAATGAGTAAGTACAGGAAAGTATTCAAAGGTTAAGGCGATTAGGGACATAAATAGACATGGGAAGAACAAGTGAAGAGCGTGTGTTGACAAAATAGAAGGAGCACTTTGAGGAGCGGATGAATGAAGTAAATGAGAGAAAGAGAGAGGCAGAGAGATGGAGAATAGTTAGTGAAGAGGAAAGTTCAGAGAATTAATAAGGAGGAAATGAAGGCAGCTAAAAAAAGTATGGAGATTGAAAAGCCGGTTGGTCCAGATGACTGGATGCCTGGAGAATGGAGAAGAAGTGTACTGGTACAAATTTTCAAGGACAAAGTGAAAAAAAGGTTAAAACGAAGATTAAACCAAGGTTAAAAGCAAAGGAGAGCAGCAGAGATGATTCATGTGGATTCATTCATGTGGAGAAAGAGCACCGCAGATACAGTATAATGCTTGCTTTGTGAGTGCTGGGGTTGCACTGTCTTTGTGGATCTAGAGAAAGCATATGATAGGGAGCCAAGAGAGGAACTACAAATGAGGAAGTAGTTGTAGCATATATTTGAGGCTGGTGATGGACATTTATGAGGACAGGAAGACAGACATGTAGTATGCAGCAGGTGAGAGAAAAAGGTTCAAGATGGGGATGGGATTACATCAGGGATCAGCTCTGAACCCCTTCTTGTTTGCAGTGGTGATGGACAGGTTGACAGACAAGGTCAGGCAGGAGTCTCCCAAGTGGCCACATGAGAAACTGGGACTGTTTTGGAGGCTCCCACCAATAAGTTTATAAAGAGATTAAATTAATATTGAGCAGAGCTGAGTTCATCTTATTGGGGTGGCCCTCCAGAGTCCTATTAGACAAAGTATAAAAGTTAAACTTTTATACTTTGTCTAACTTTACCTTCACACAACCAATATATAAATGCCATGAAATGTGGAGGGACCCATTCGGTAGTTCTGTCAACTGGGCTCCTTCTGTCTTTCAGGTACTGGGGTACTGCATGTCTACTTTTTGGTACTTTTTCTTTTTTTGATAAATAGCAAGTGTATTATTCTGTCAGTATTGAGCAAAATCACTTCCAGCACTTTGTTGAAATAACATGTAAATAGATAGATAGTTACCCTGAGAAGGTATACCTAGTAAAGTATCTGGCGAGAGTATCCACGTGGGCACACCAACTAGTTAAAAATCAGTAGCCACTTTCAGTCTTACAATACTACTATTGTAGTCTGTCAAAAGAACATTTTACTATAAAACCTTTGAGAAATGTCTGTTTTCTGTTTCTGTAATGACTGATGTAATGTCTTTTTATCTTTATGTTGTGCTTTTAAATACAGTGAGCACCCTAAAAAAAATGCAAAACTGACATATAACCAGGCTCAAGTGGGTATACATTCTCTGCTTATCTCCTCTCCATCTGTCTGTGCTGTCTGTGTAGGGGCTCAGGTTTCTCATTTCCCTGCCTCTGAGCCCCCCACAGCTCCATGCACAAGGCCGAACGTGCCCCAGTCACACGCCCTCCTCTTTCTCTGCTGCTGGGAGCCACAGCGACACACGGCTTCCCACACTTCTGTATGCAGCCTGCTCAGCAGCACACACAATAGAAGTGTGTCTGCTCTAACAAAGCCTCGGGACCGTTCTCAGGCAGGGAAAGCACAGAGGCCCACTTCACAACCATCTGGTTTTGCTATAACTGGCTGCTGAGAAAAAGAGACTGAGAAAATATTAAACATTAAAAATATTAATAATGCTTTTACCTCATTTTGAAAGTTATTTAATATTATTCATTTGAGTTGTCTTATTTATCATTAGAAATAATTAAAGACAGAAACAGTGGTGCTATTTGAGAATAAAAAGCCACGTATTTAAAAAATGTTGTAGTGAGTATTTGCTGTTGCAGTTGAGATGTTAATAATATGTTAGTAATGAGTTTTATCATCCACACAGCACATTTTACAGTCTTTTTAGTGTCGATTAGATTTGTGTCGTTGAAGTGTCTGTCCTATGTCCCATCATGGTCCATGTGCATAGTCTAAGCTTCACAGAAGGAAACAAAATTTTCCCGTGTCCACTTCAGGAAGAGCATTTTCCCACTGATCTCTCTTATGTATGGCATACAGATAAAGCATCCCACCTGTTCTCTATGACAGCCATTAAATGCGCTCTATTGTCCTGAGCTCTGAGGCCCCTGATTGGCCAGAAAGCAGTGAAAGCGCAAGATGAGCAGCATAAATAAGGAGCAGGCACACAGAAGTAAACAGAGACGTCGTCTGAACCTTTGCAAGCAAGACCAGAACTTCCCACAAGAAAAAACAGACCTCGTCATGGCTCTCTACGCAGATCTCACTCTTCAAGACACCATGAAGGAGCAACTGTTTAGGTGAGCTGAAGTTCTGTTTCTCTATTCCCAGTACGAGCAGTTCACTAGAAATGTACTTTTCACCAAAAGGACAAATATGTTAACATTGTTGTGACTTTTCTTTCAGATGTAAACTTCACATGCTGGAGAAGAAATGCAGCACCGGAGTGGAGAAGCTGAAGGCTCTGATTGCAGAACATCTGCAGAATGGTCTCCCTCTCTCAGACTTACTGGAGAAAACAAAGTCATTGCTCACGTTAAGAAAAGCCCTGCTGACACACAACGGCTACTCCAAATATTCAAGGGACATTTTACGCCTGTTTCCCGATGCAGAGGATGACGTGGCTCCGCTGTGCTTTTAAGAACAAAACACGAACTACAAAAAGTCATCGAAACTGGATTCAAACCACCGCATTTTTAATGGCAGTGATGCAAGCTGGATCTCTGTGTTAAAAATCTACTGACTGTTAAAAGATGCATTATTTGCATTACGACAAGGAGACTCTCAAGGGCACCTGCGGCACATTTCAACCATTTTACTGAGTATTTCTTTTTTTAAAAGGAAACATTTATTTTAGCTCATACGATATGATTTCAGTCGAGCTTTAACAGGAGCCTGTGAAAGATAACTGAATTCAGGGTCAAAAGTGGTTGTTGACTGTGCAGAAGATGTGTTTTGCTGCTATTTGTGGGATTTATGTTTCTTGTGGTTGTCAGATTTTTATGTGAAGGCCACAGAAGAAAAATCCAGCCTCGAAACTATGCAACAATTAGTTGTTGTTTGTGTAATTACTATTTTTTTTTCACCAGAATTTTAGCGGTATAATTTTTACATTTTATACCAACAGTAACACTGTGTGATTATATTTTTGCATATGTATTTTGCTGCCTTGTTTCAAGGTATATTTGATAAAATCCCTTAATACAAACCTTTCTTTTGAAAGGAGATTCATCTCTGTTTATGCTGTGTATGCATATTTTGTTTATTCATCAGTTTCGTTTTTATTCATCCAAAGTGGATTTTAATTTGTTTTTATGTTTGTTTGTTTTTTTTGCATATTTCAAGAAAATAAATATGTGAAGATCAAATTCTTGTCATGTGACTTTATTTGAATTAATTTGGGAGAATCAAACTATTTAAATATTTTGTGTTGATTCAAGAAACTTTATTATAATTTTATTAAATGTATTATATTTTCACACTCCCTTGAGTGGAAATTTTAAACACCATGTTTCATGAAAAAGACTTGATCAGTGTGAAAAGATGCTAATCGTAGACGATGATAATGTCTGAATTTGATGACATAGAGCAAGGGTTCCAATGGCAGCCCTTGACAACCATTCGTGTGTGACTGACAGGCACATCCAGAAAGGAATGTAGTGCTATGCATTATCCACTTTATTTCATGCTATGACATAGCAGCTTGGAATGAGACAAAAAGAGATTTTCATTCATTTCTTCAATTTTAGCTCCTCTGTCCTGGTCATTATAGCAGACCTCACCTTCTTAGCACTGACAAATATTGTGGTTATCATGGAAAAAAAAACACAAGCCAGCACAACAACTTGTGTGCAGTTTTCTTGTGAAATTCTCAGTAACATGCCTAAATAGACACTCAGTCATCAGAGCACTGGGAGCATCTGATCTACAGTATCATACTTTAACAGGAGGACAGGACTTTAACACTGCTGTTAAGACATCATTCAAACACTAAATTTGCTTGTGAAAAAGTGCTGCTAATCCCATCAGCATATGCAGTAGCTATATGTCATGCTGTTTTATATAACACCACATTTTAGAATGATGAAATATGGTGTAAGCTATTAGCTCAAAAGAGAAGAGTTTTACCAGCATCTGTCTGTCTGTTCTACGGTCCGTCACATTTTTATGTGAACCTAACAAAAGCAGTCATAGTCAAGTGAGAAATAAGCAGTTGTGCCAAAAGATGTTAAAACATTTTTCTCAGTAAACAGCAGGTAAAGTTACCCTGTTGTTTCAGATAACGTTGCCTATTAAAAAACACGTTGTTAAACATGCAGAGCAGATTTTCAGTTTTATATAATTTCCATGATTAAATAATCAAAATAAGTCAAGCAAAATGTGTTGTTTTTTCTGATTGCTTTATTGCGCATCACTTGGCTTGAAGAGATACATTCATTTTGAGATGTTTTACAAATAACAGCGCCTTCATTGAAGGTATGTGTGCTGTCACTCACAGAGTCAATAAGCAACACGTTTGTCTTGAAGGTTATCTGCTAAAAATGCAGACAGTTAACACATTTAAAGACCAGAAAGGACATTTCAATCAGTAAAGTATGTGGATATCACATAAAATTTTACACATGTTCAACATGCATACATACATCACTGTCAGTGTAACCAACATTATATAGGAATTCAAACTGGGAATAATAACGTCTACTTCACAATGAATCGGAATAAGACTACTTTTGAAACACAAAATAACAGCCAACCCGTTGTCTGCAAATATTGCAGAAACACAGAATCTGACCTTTACAAAAGGCAATAATATAGATTAAAGGAAAATGCTGCACAGGCACCCTTCAAAATAAGACAATCCCAGAAACAAGTACAATTACAGGTACTTCTACGAAGATAGAGTTTTTATTTCCAAGCACACTTTTACACAAGTCCTTCCAAGGCTTCTACCAAGGTCTCCATAGAGCAGTGCTGACTGGACTTTTGTCTTTGATGATGCTCATCTGGACTGTGGAGCTAGATAAGTTGGCCTCTCTCAGGTTCTTATTAGAAGAAGCATGCAGGTTGTTGACATGGTTCAGCAGTCTTCTCTGGGACTGAGTCTTCACCTCATCTTTGGACAGGAAATGGACCATTTCTTGGACACACCTGGAGTAGCCCTGATCGACTGTTGCAGAGTTCACAGCTTGACGCTGCTGCTGCAGTCGTCTCAGGAAGCAAACTGTCATCTCCAGGATGTCTGCCTTCTCCAGTTTGGAGTCTGGCTGCTGTTTCAGGAACTCTGGACCCAGCAGAGACTTGAGCTGCTCAATGCTGGTGTTAATTCGCTCTCTGCGTAACTTCTCCACCAGAGGCTTTCTGAGCTGCAGAAAGAAGAACAATAATATTACTAAACTTGTTCAGTGGCACAGTTTTTAGCACAAAAAAAAATCAGTTGGCTGTATGTGATATTAAAATATCTATGAGTCTCCAGTTTACCTTGTGGGTCAGAGTTGGATGCTCCTGAGAACCGGTCATTGTCGCAGTGACAGGTGCCATGGCTGGATCTCTGTGCTGTAGCGAGAATCTGATCTCTGCTGGCTTCATCCCTCCTATTTATACTCCCACATCTCCATATGAATGTGTGGGTCTTGGTCTGACTGGAGTTTCTCACAGTCTGAGCCAATCAGAGAGCTCAGCAAGACAATAAAGGATGCAAGACACTGAATGGTGTTATTGCCTTAAGGATAATGGTTAGATCTCAGGGGAACAGCTGGCGGGCTGGGGGGAGGTTGATGGAGAGAGACTCACACAGCTCTGTGTGGATCTGGGAAAGTGGTGACCCTGTAGAGAAAGCTGATCTGCTGCCTGATGCTGAGATCAATGACTTTGACTGAGCACACGCTCATCATAACAACAGAAAACACATCTGAAACAGTCATGAAAATATGTTAGGCTTAGACAACCACATATTTCTGCCTTATTTACAACAAACATGTCACAATTAGGTGTCATTTTAACTTGACTAGAATGCATCAAAGTAATACTCTTGCTCTACAAGAGATATTTTTGTTGATACTGTTATCGCACAAAATACTATCGCAGATACAACAGAAACTTTCCTCAACACATCTCCCTATCAACAGCTGGATTAATGAGATTTTTAATAAAGTTTGATTATTGATACAACCTAAACTCATCAGACCACAACCAGCACACGATCAATTCATGAGTGAACACCCTTTATCCTATCTAAATCATTATCATCATCATCATCATCAAAAAAAAAAAAAAACTTAAGGAAAAAGAAATTAAGAAAAAAAGCCTGGAATGCAGAGAGACAATCTGAGTTCGAAGAAGGAGAAAAGGAGCCTTTGAATTTTCATTAATCCAAAAATGTCTGCATTCCTTATAGCAGTTTTACAAAAGCCTGGTAATGACGAGTCTTGATGGCTGGAATTTCCATTCACAGGCAATGAGACAAAACTCGTAAACTGACTCCATAATTAATGTGATGTGCAACCAGACACACTTCTTTTGTTCTTGAAAGCAGTAAATGGGGAGAGTGTGGGAAACCAGAGAAAACCCACTCACAGAGCCCCTGAGGGACAATAGAGGCAGGCCAGACAAAGATGTCTGTGAAGGGGGAGGAATTCTTTACCACTGAATTTAAACTTTTTACATAATTTACTCACTCAAGATGAGAAAATGTTAATTTAGAGTTCTTAATAATTATATTTTTTGTACAGATATTAAATATATTCTTTGAAAACTTTTGTTATGATTTGTGGTTTTGTTTAAATAAAATCTAAAAAAAATTTGAATAAATTTTATTTTTTAAATACAATTTAAATTAAAGAAAAGTGCCAAATTATCACACTGTTTTTAAATTACATTTTTATTTGTAGTTCTACATTGTTACCAATGACCAATTTTAAACTCCCGACAGCTACATCATTATAACAATGTATATTACCTGGATACATTTTCATGACAAAAGAAAAAGTAAGTAATATAGTAACAGCTATAATAATGTACAATTTAAAAAAATAAAATAAGACAAGGCATACTTTATCTAGTCCAAAAATAGCAGCCAATACATTAAATAGTTCAATAAAATACAATATGACAAATCAAAAAAGTTTAATAAAGTTAAAAAAGAGCCTAATTAACCTGAAAATAAAGTAGAATAAAATAAATGAAATATTTTAAAGTAAAAATAGAAAATAAAAAAAGGAGAATGTCATATTTATTACATATTTTTCTTAATAAATACTTATAATGTCCTTATATGTCTGTGCAGGTATAGAAAGTAAATGCACATACATAAAATTTAAATATAAAATACACATCCAAATATACTTTGTTGACTAACAGTTAGGTTACATCCCTAACCAAAATATTTGTGTTTATACTCACTCTCCTAGCTTAATTACTGACAGTGTCTACACAACAAACTCTGCCCTCATGGGAGAGCCGGGAGCTGCTGGTGTGTAGATGAATTAGCATTTAACAAGGCACATGCCCATTGTTGAGTGAGAGCTCAGTCAATGAACAGAGTGTGGGAAAACTGTGAGAGAGCGAGTCACAGTTCAGTGTGATTAGCATCTTCAACCTCACCAGCACCTGACTATTCTCCAAAGGGGAATTGGCACACTTCAGAGGAAGATTTTCTTCACTGTTTATTCTCTTTTTCCTTGTATTTCTTTCTCTGCTGGTCTCTCTTTGGTGCCAATTCTGTAACTTTTGCCAGCTTCATTTCCACTCTGTGTCGTGGGTCATTATTTCAATCTAAACCTCTTTACTTTTTCCACTGATGGATGCCAAAATACCATGGCAATGTGGTCCTTTTTAAACAGGTTATAAAGGCTTTTTCCGCAAAGTACATTTTGACAAAGACTTTTTTTTAAATCAATGCCACAATATATAATTTGACTAACGAAGGACTCTAATAGCTAATATCTCAGGTGATATCTTATTTCCTGACTGAGAAAGTTAAACTAAACTTACATTATGTAAGTTTGGTTTAACTAATGCACTCTATTAAAACAAAAAAGGTAATAATCAAACTTCAGCATATGGCCTTGTGCTATGTCTCAGATTATTGCTTAATCTTAAAACACAAATCTACCTTTCAATCCTGCTATTTTATTTTAACATCATGGGATTTATAATGTGAAAGGTGCATATGGCTTGCTCTCACATGTGTGATGGGATGATCAGCATGTGCTCAGTCAAAGTTATTGATCAAAGCATCAGGGGGAAGATCTCCTCTCTACAGGGTCACAACTTTCCCAGATTCATACAAGCCCCACCCATTACCCCCACCCCCAGTCATCCACCTGTTCCCCTGAGACCTAGCTATTGTTCCTCCAGCAATAAAACAACATTCAGCATGTTGCTTCATCCATATTGTCTTGCTGAGCTCCCTGATTGGTCAAAATGGTGAGAAACTTCAGCCAGGCCAGAACCCACATATTCATATGGAGATGTGAGATTATAAATAGTGAGATGAAGATGATAGAGAGATGAGATTTCTACAGCACAGATATCCAGGCATGGCACCTACAATCACTGCAGCAATGAGCAATTCTCAGAAGCATTCAACTCTGAATCACAAGGTAAATTGCCCACCAATACCTAAACATATCTTTACAAATTGTCTCATATAATGCTTAAGTTACACTCTGGATAAAGTTTATTTACTATTTTCTTTCCTCTTTTTGCAGATTAGAAAGCCTCTGGTGTAGAAGTTACGCAGAGAGCGAATTAACAGCAGCATTGAGCAGCTCAAGTCTTTCCTGGTTCCAGAGTTCCTCAAACAGCAGACCGTTTGCTTCCTGAGACGACTGCAGCAGCAGCGTCAAGCTGTGGCCTCAGCAGCTGTTGATAAGGGCTACTCCAGATGTGTCCAAGAGGTGGCACATGTTCTGTCCAAAGAGGAGGCGAACACTCTGTCTCAGAGAAGACTGCTGAACCACATCAACAAACTGCAAAACTCCTCTGACAACCTGAGAGAGGCTCATATCTCTCATCTGAGCTACACAGTCCAGACTACCATGACCAAAGATAAGACTCAAGCCAACAGCTCCCTCTGGAGGCCGTGGTAGACACCAACTGACAGAAGATGTTAACAATGTGACCATGTTGGTTAAATATAAATAAGATTTTCAATGTTAAATGAGAAATCTGTGACAGATTTTGAGCACAAAGTTCTGTTGCACTGATAGTTTCTTTCTTTTTTAGAAACACAATATTGTTTTCTATGATAACATACTTTCTCTCATTGATGCATGATATGATAACTACCATAAAAACTGACCAAGCTTGGTTAGGAATGATCATACTTAACTTATATTCCTGTTGACAGGAGTTGTGAATTTTCTACCTACTTTTTTGTTTTAATATCACCCTTTCTGATGCACTTTTATGCATTGCTTTCTTATCTGGAAGATTTGTTGACCCATATTGGGTACTGGAATTATGTGTTCTATTATTAACATATTTTGCAGTGCAAAAAGCATAAATGTGTGCATAACTCAAAATGTATTTTCTCTGATTGAGATTTGGGTCACTTTCTTTAGTTTATATTAAATTACCCTGCTGTGCCTTTTTTAAAACATACTGGAGCTGTTCATTCTACTCTGATTAAGGGCATTGACTAGAAATACAAGTTTTTGCTGCCATGCATCATCACCACTCATGCCTCAGTGAAAGTACGTAAACATGATGTGACCTCTTTATTCTTCACGATCAAAAATAAATAAATAAATAACTGAATATTGAGTTGTGTCACCTCATCCCTTCTACTGACAAAAGATCAGTGTTGGTCAAGCTTTTAGTGAAGCAGAGTTGTCATTGTTTACTGGAGCATTACATTGTTGAGATACATGAACCACATCTTTCAGTAAGGACACTTTCTGTTATGGCTGCCAAATATCTTGTAGCTGCTGCTGAAACACACAGAAATCGATTCATTTCTTAAAACATATGATGACTTGTAAAATAAAACTGACAATTTGATCATTCCCATCTGTTGTTGTGCCTTTATTAGTCTTAAGGTTGGCAAGCTCCTCTTATTTCACAGTCTAGGATCACACTTCAAACATGTGGCCCTTGAGCCAGAACAGGCCATTTAAATGGTTGAATAAAGCCCTGAGAATGGCTTTTCAAAGCTGATAAATGCAGAGCAGAAGGTTTTCATGTTTAGACTACATGCTGCATTTGTAACAGGACTCTATTACTGAAAAACTGCAACATGACAGTTCTGACTAAACTCCCAATTCTGTCCAAGCTAGAAGTCAAGCTAATCATCAGTTTTACAGATTTCTGACTTCTTAAGGAGTTAACTCAACATGTTTTTTTCATTTACTAAAGTAGTGTTTATTTTTAATGACAGTGGACTGGATGTGGAAAAAAAGAAAGATCATTAGTTCTTGTACTTTGTAACATATACATAAGTACAAGTTATGCATCATATACGAGTGGGAGTGCATGTATTTGAGCCTGTATGTCTACTTTCGATCGTGCGCAGACAGGGACAATTACATTCAAACTTTTAGAAGGCTCAGCATAAATGCAGCGCTCCATAATTAATATTTATGGAATATGCTGTTTACAAATCTAATCAGCGTAAATAATCAGAGATTCCAATCTAATCCACCCATTTTAGGGTGGAGCCTTTAGGTATCAAACCCGAGGCAAAGACTCAGTAATTAGAAGTGAAAGAAATGTGGCAAAGCAGATAAGATGACAAACAAGCACAACATTATTTCAGTCTCTTAACCACGGCAGTCCACCGAATCATCAAGCACTTATCCAGTACAGACACTGGAACATCACCTTGTCACTCCATAGACCTGTACACAAACCAACCTGGTAATACAGTTGTTTTATATTAAAGTTTTTGAATTCATACAGTACAAACCCTCTATTTAATATGCAGTCACAGCACAGAGCATCATGTACTCCAATTTCATGAGTGGAGAATAGATTTGTAGTCCCTCACATGGCAGCCGTCCTGTTCAAGACAAGTTTAGAGTGGTATGAATCCTGTAAAATGCGACCATTCATATCAATATGGGATCAATATGATGTGAGTCAACAACAGTACAAAACACTGCTTAGTTATGAGAAATCATCAATGTATGTGAGAAAACAGAAGCTACAGCTTCATAATTTCTGGT